CCCCCCCCCCCCCCCCAATTAAGGAACAGTTCAGCTTTGTGGCTGATTTCGTACGTTCTGAAGCGTTTCATGATCTGATATTTTGTGTACATGCGTCTGTCGCAACATGTATTCATTTGAGGGGAATAAATTGGAATTGATCCACGACCGGGGACAAAATCCTCACGTCCCCGGGTTTCTCGGCTGAATTCGGGGACGGATTTTACCCCATTTTTTTGACCGTACGGCGGTGCTGCGCACATGAAAAAAACAAGAACTAAGAGATTAATGCATAGTTGGTCCATTCTGGTCATATATCGACTCCCTGAAAAGAAATTAGAACGAAAAACGTTGCGTAGGTGATGTAATGCCCGTTCAAACAAGCATACCTTGGACCTGGCCGCTACGGCAAGAACTCTCAGCGGGGACCTCAAGGCCATTTCCCTTGTTTCACATTCACCATACACTCCCACAACGTGCCCTTTTGTGGTTAGGTGTTTTCTATGACAAGGAATGTTGTTGCAAAAAAAAAAAAATCCATGCATAGTTTACCCGGGGACAATATTGCCACATCCCAGGTTTCGCGGCAAAATCAAGGTATCGCCCCCCAGCCCCCCGACCCCGGTGCTGGGGTGCACCCCAAGCATCTCTGCATAGCCCTCGAGACCACCCCAAGCTTCTACTAGGCACATCAATTGACTGAAAGAAAAAACTATGTCGTCTGGAGCTTATTTGACATCTCTTCATAGACTACATACATTCAAGCACGTAAACTGGGCCAGGCAAAAAGCAGCTTGGCACTGCGGTGAGACTTCTCGCAGAAAACCGCACCCGTTTCCCACCACTCGAACGCCCTATCGAAAGGTACTTTCAAGACGATCAGCTCAAGTCGCCAAGCAGCAAAAAAAATCAATAGCCCTTCAGTCCCCGGGGACAGCATTTCAACGTCCCCGGGGTTCCGGATAATACCTCTACACCCCCCATCCCCCCTCCCCCCCGTGGTACGCTCGAAAACCCCCAAAAGCTGTTGAAGCACAACCCTGGAATGGATATCGGCACCTGGACACTCAACTGACGTTTTCTGTATGTCTCACTCGAATAATTCATCCCTCAATCGAATAAAAAAACGATAACAAAAAAATGAATAAATGACCGTACAGCATCTATTCTACACATCAACGATTGGTGCGCGGCCGTCCTGCTCCCCCTTGAACGCGAGCACCGGCCCCCCCCCCCCCCCCCCCCCCCCCCCCCC